CGGGAGAGGCGGGGCAAGGGCTCTGCTCCCGTCTCCCTCTTGTCTCGGTCCAGTCGCACTTTGGTCTCGCTCCTGTCGTGGCCGAAGCCGCCATGTCCCTGCGGCGGGTGCTGGGGCTGGGGCGGGCCCTGGGCCGCCGGAGCTACTGCTCCAAGGTGGGGCCGAGCAGGGGCTTGGGGGTCCCATGGGACACGGCGGGACAGGGATCTCGGTGTGACCGCGCTGCCCTCGGCTGTGCATGGAGGTCCCGGGCCCGTGGCCCCCAGGTCGGACCCTCATTTCCCCCCCGCAGTCCCCGCTGCCCCCAGACTTCGTAGAGGCCCTGAGGGCCGTGGTGGGGACCCCCAACGTCTCCACGGCCATGTCGGTGCGGGAGCAACACGGGCATGACGAGTCAATGCACGTGTAGGTACCTGGGCCGGGACCGCGGGAAGGGGTTGAGGAGGTGAAGGGTTTTAGGAGAGGGGAAGAGCCATGGGGAGGGGAAGGGTCTGAGGGGAAGAAGAGCACTGTGGATGGGAAGGGCCATCGGGAAGGGAGGGGTTTTGGAAGGGTAAGGATCTAGGCTGGGAGCATGGGAGAGGAAGTGACTGGAGAGAGGAAGGGTCTGGGGTTGGGGAAGGGTCATGGGGAGAGACATGGGCATATGGGGGGGAAAGCCCTAGGAGAGGGTCCTTGGAGGGGAAGAGCAATGGGGGGAAGGGTCTGGATTGAGGAAGAAGGGACACGGGGAGGAGGCTGGGGGAGAGGTGGAAGGGCTGTGGGGTGAGGGTTGTGGAGGGGGGGCAGTGGCAGCAATGCTCCTGTCCCCAGCTGTGCCCCTCCGGACGCCGTGGTGTGGCCGCACGCAGTGGGGCAGGTCCAGGAGCTGGCTGCACTCTGCTACCGCTACCGTGTGCCTATGGTGCCCTTTGGCACTGGCACAGGCCTGGAGGGTGGCGTCAATGCCGTACAGGTACAAAACCCCAGACCCCTCCCCGGTCCCTGCCCAGGGCTGCCAGTGCCACTGTGCCCAGCCCCTGCGGTGCCCCATGGCAGGGCGGTGTCTGCTTTGACCTGAGCCACATGAACGCCATCATGGAGCTGAGCCTCGAGGACTTCTCCGTGTCGGTGGAGCCCGGCGTCACCCGCAAGGCCCTCAACAGCTACCTGCGTGGCACCGGGCTCTGGTTCCCTGTCGGTAATGTGGGCACTGGGGAACAGACGGGGGGCTGTCTGGGGTGGGATGGTGGCACTGGGGTGCTGGGGGTGCCCGTGGGTGTGCTGTGACCACAAGGGTGGGGTTTACCACTGAGGTGCTGTGGTTCCAGAAGTGTCCACATGGGAGTGGGTGCCATGATCTCACGAGGTCCCAATGGTACCAGGGGTGCACAGGGCTGGGCAGAGCACGGGGTCTCATGGGGACATCCTATGTCTCTGTCCCCATGCCAGCTGCCCATCCCATCTCCACTCCGTGCCATCCCATCCACAGACCCTGGCGCGGACGCCTCACTCTGCGGCATGGCAGCCACAGGCGCCTCAGGCACCAATGCAGTGCGCTATGGCACCATGCGCCCCAACGTGCTGAACCTGCGCGTGGTGCTGCCGGATGGGCGCCTGTTGCACACCGCAGGCGCTGGGCGCCAGCCCAGGTGGGCATGGGGGGGGTTGGGCTGGGTGCGGACTGTACCAGCACCCGCTCACTAGCCCAACACAGGAAGCGGGCGGCCGGCTACGACCTGACCTCACTGTTCGTGGGCTCCGAGGGCACCCTGGGCTTCCTCACACTGGCCACGCTGCGCTTGCACCCACTGCCTGAGGCCAGCGTTGCCACAGCCACCACCTTCCCGACTGTGCGGGCAGCCGTGGACTGCACCGTGCAGGTCCTGCAGGCTGCCGTGCCCGTGGCACGCATCGGTGGGTGCTAGGGAATGGGTCTGGCACTCGGGCTGGGGGTCCGAGTGCTCATGGCAGGGCTCATGCTGTCTTCTTGTCAGAGTTCCTGGATGAGGTGATGGCGGGTGCCTGCGGCCGCTTCAGCAACATGAAGCTGCCGGTGGCCCCCACGTTGCTCTTGGAGCTCCACAGCTCCAGGCATGGCCTGGCTGAGCAGCAGCAGCAAACAGGTAGGCTCGGCTGAGGGCCGTGGTGGGCACAGGTGCCCAGGGGCAATGAATGGGGAACCAGGGATGTCCTGGCATGAAGGACAGTGTTAGGTGGCCGCAGTATGGCTCTGGGGCAAGCGATGGTGTCCATTGCCTGGGATGGGGAGCCAGGTACATCCTGAAGCAAGGAATGGGTGACCAGGCCCAGGGATTGGGGAACCTTGGTGTCATCAGAGTGAGGGTGCCCGGAGCCTAGGACTGGCATTCTGGAGGTCCCATGGATGTGGTCCCCTGTCCCAAGCCTGGGCTGTCCTGAGGAGAGGGACAGGTTCCCAGGACCAGTGACAGGGTAAACAGGGCTGGGTGCCCAGGTTGGGGACTGTGGGACTGGGGAGTTCCAAGGTGAAGGATGGGTACAGACCTCCTCAGGCAGGGGTGTGCTGGGGGACCCAGGGGCAGGGGACAGGGGGGATCATGGGTGTCCCAGGGTGTGGGGTGGATGCCCGGGGTGGGGACTGGGATTTCTGGGGGTGCTGCGTGTCCCATCCACTTCATCCCAGTGCTCCTGGCAGAGGAGATCGTGCGGCTGAATGGCGGCTCCAGCCTGGCCTGGGCGGAAGAGCTGGAGGAACGTGAGTGCCTCTGGGCTATGCGCCACCATGCCTGGTACGCGGCCCTGGCACTGCGGCCCGGCTGCCAGGTGAGGGACAGGCATGGGGACAATGGCACCAGCACCCCATGGAGCTGTGGTGCCATTGCTCTGCCCTGGGGGACAGCCCTTCATGGATTTGTGGTGCCACTGCTCTGCCCTGGGGCACAGTGCCCTGTGGAGCTGTGGTGCCACTGCTGTATCCTGCCTGGCCCAGGGCTACTCCACTGATGTCTGCGTGCCCATCTCCCGCCTGCCCGACGTGGTGGTGGAGACCAAGCAGGACCTGCAGGACTCTGGCCTCACCGGTCAGTGGGGCAGGGGGGGGTGTCAGCTGGGGGACTGCTGTCCTCCCCACTGTACCCCACCTGACCCACAGTCCCCTGCAGGCCCCATGGTGGGACACGTGGGTGATGGCAACTTCCACTGCATCCTCGTCTTTGACACCCAGGATGAGAACGAGGCGCAGCGCGTCCATGCCTTCGCTGAACGCCTAGGCAGGTGGGGATGGGGACGCTCCAGGGACCTGGGGATGGAGAGATGGACTTCCCCATCCCCTGACCTCATCATCCTGCAGGCGGGCGCTGGCAGCAGGGGGGACCTGCACTGGGGAGCATGGCGTGGGTCTGGGCAAGCGGGCACTGCTGCTGGAGGAGCTGGGACAAGAGGGGCTGGACACCCTGCGCAGCATCAAGGCTGCGCTGGACCCCAACAACCTCATGAACCCCGGCAAGGTGCTCTGACAGTGGCACCAGCACCGGGCTGACACCCCTTGTGCTTCCCCAAATCCCCCACCCTTGTGGGTCAAGGACCCCCAATAAACTCCTCTGCAACCACAGCATCCATGCACTGTGATGTTTTTTAGGGGGACAGGACACCAGTCCCATCCTCAGGTGTTCCCTGCCCTAAGCAGTGCATACCCCTAGGCTGGGGGACTGGTGGGGTCCCACTTTAACCCCTTCCCAGTGCTGTGGGGCTCTGTGGGACTGAGAGCTGTCCAGGCTGTGTGGGAGGGGTGAAGACAGGGAAAGCCTGCCACCACGCTCTGCTTCACCAAGAAAGCCAGTGAAATAAAATAACAGTGATTATTTTATTGAACATTGTTTTAATACCATATCAAAACACCTTGACTAATGAAGGAAGCTCCCCCCAGGCTCTGAACTCTTTGAAGGTTTTGTTTTTCCCCCTTTGTTTTTAATATATAAATACAGAAAGGTTTCCCGCAGGGCACGGCCACCAGCAGCGGAGGTCTCACCAACAAAAACACACCCGCCGCGCTGGGAGGGACAGGATGGGATAGGCTGGGCTGGGCTGGGCTGGGGGGGAACTGCCAGCAACTGGCTCCATCTTGGCAGCTCTGGCAAAGCCACCCCCATGGCCAGGGGGGGCTGAGGAGAGCCATCGGGGACCTCACCGTCCCCTCCCTCGCAAGGGTTTGACTCCAGGACGACGGCAGGGAGGAGGAGTTTTGGCAAGAGGAGCCCGGAGAGGGGTGGCAGAGAGGCGGTGGGATGCTGCGGCTCTCCAGTCTCTGAGTGGTTATAGCTGAGTTAAAGAGTGACCAGTCTGTAAACATCACCGGGGCAGGGAAGCTCAAACCGAAGAACACGCCAGTCAACACGAAACTTCAGTGTGGTTGTTTTGTTTTGTTTTTTTTCTTTTTTTTCTTCTTTTTTACCATTTTCTCTTTTTTTTTTCTTCTTTTTTTCCCCTTTTTTTTGTTACTCATTGTAAACACTTTGATAGACCCCTGCGGCTCGGCATGGGGGAGCACTGTCCCCATTCCCAGTATGGGGCAGAAGTCCCCATCTCACACTGCTGGGCCTGGGATGGAGAACTCCAAAAGGGAGATGGAAAAAGAGAGAAAATTCCTGTTGAGTCAATGCAAAAACACCGAGCAGGGCCCGCGGCAGGTCCGGGCGGGAGGCTGCTGGTGAAGAATGCTGCATGCTCCGTTTGGCCAGCTGCTTTCCCCCAGCAGTTTCCCTTTCATTTTGGGGTGAAAAGCCAAACATCATGGCAGAGTTTCGGCCGAGGGCCTCCCTGGTAGGCAGAGCTCTCCTGGTGACCAGCGGCTGTGGAGGGGAGAGCAGGTAGCTCTGCTGGTCTCACACTTGTCTTCTGGATGGTTCTTTATTTTAAATTGTTTCATTTAAAAAAACAGAACAAACAAAAGAAAAAAGCAAAAAAAAAACCCCCAACAAAACAAATAATAATAATAATAATAATAATAATAATAATAATAAAAAAATCACTGTTGTCCCAAATGGGTTCAAGTTTCTGGGTTTTATTTTTTTGTCTTCTTGAGGAATTTAAAGTCAGCCCAAAACTCCAGGCGGGGCAGGGAGGACGGGGAGAGGAGGTACAGCAGGTATAGCAAGGTGCCCTACAAAGGCAGAGAGACATGATCCCAGGTGAGAGCCACAGCCACCATATCCCACTATCCCACCCTGACCCAACCCATCCTCCCCTTCTGGCCCAGGATTTAAACCCAGCACAGGAAAATCATAGAATCATAGAATCAACTGGGTTTCAAAGGACCTTTAAGATCATCAGATCATCATCAGCCCAGCACTGCCAAGGCCACCACTAGTCCATGTCCCTGAGGGCCTCATCCACACGGGTTTTGAACACTTTGAGGGATGGTGATTCCACAACTGCCCTGGGCAGCCTGGTCCAATGCCTGACCACCCTTTGGGAGAAGGAATTCCTTCCTTCCTAATACCCAGCCTAATTTGACCAGCCCACCGCAGGCTCACCTTAGAGAAAGATCAGCAAGCATGCCCGGCAGGTCAATCAGAAGGATGCTCCGGGCAAGATCTGTTCACTTCAAACCATGAGTCTATACAGCTGCAGAGAGGAAAGCATGTCACCACTGTGCTGCTGAACCACAGGCTGTCCCCTTACCCCTCTGCCACCCAACTGGCTGTGTCCCCTGGTCCCCACGTGGTACCTTTTGTGATAGATGCAGAGGCAGGGCAGCCTGGCTATCGTGTCCCCCTGCAGCAGCTCCTCCAGGCAGATCACGCACTCGCCAGCATCCTTGGTCAGCACGTCATCTAGGAGGGGACGAGAGGGCAGTGGTGAGACATTGTCCGCTGCAGCGGCACTCCCACTCCTGGGATGGAGGGGAGCCCACGGCCACCTCGGCGGAGGCAGCCAGAATGGGGCTTCCAAAGAGCACCACAGAGTAGCAAGCCAGCATCAAGATGATGGGAGATGCAGGACCAGTGCTCAGCTCAGTAAGCTTCACTGCCAGTGAGGAGGGGAGGAAAGCAACGACCCTCCTGAGTGCCAGCCCAGGAGGACACACATCCCCTACCACAGGCAGGATACCTGGCCAAGATGGGTCCCTCTGGCCACAGCACTCTGCAACGTGGGAAGGGGGCTGTGTCCCAAAGGCACAAGCAGTGAGGCTTAGCCATGCCAGGGGAGCAGAGCTGAGCAGGGCTGTGAGCTGCACCATCCCGCTGGAGCACAGCCCTTTGGCAAGCCTAGCTGAGCCGCCTGCCTGCGCAGCCTGCAGTGTCTCCAGCCTGCCCAGAGCCATCCCAAGCCAGCAGGACACTGTGTCCGCTGCGCAGCCTGGCCCTTACCATTGTAGGAGAGGCGAGGTTTGCTCAGACACATGATAAAGTGCATTTCCATCTCGTCAGAAGCCACCGATTTGGAGCAAATGGGGCACTTGAAACCTGGAGGGAGAGCAGAGAGAAGAGCCCTTAGTGAGGGAAACAGAAGGATCCATCCCACATCCTGCATCCCGGCAGCGGGCAGCCCCTCACCTGCTGCCTGCATGGTGGCACCGACCCCACGCAGTGCCCGTGGGGCACCCACTCATCCTGTGCCAGCCACCAGCAGTGCCAGCATGGGGGACAGCCACCCAAGAGAAGGGACAGCCACCCGAGCGTGGGGACAGCTGCCCGTCCCCGTGCCTGCCGCGCAGAGGGCATGAGGAGTGTGCCAAGGCAGAGCACACGTGGGCATCAGCTGCTGCCGGGCCTTAAAGGGCGAGGAGCAGCCAGGGGCATGAAGCACCCACAGCTGGCAAGGGTAGGGGCACGTCTCAGTGCACGGATAGTGATGTCCCTGCTGCCACAGTGAACCAGGAGAGCTACAAGGAAGGAGGTTTTGCTGTAGGGCTGCAGCAGAGCACTGAGAGGCTGGAGCCATGAGACAACACTGCTGCTTTATCCAGCTTCTGGCAGGAGTGAGGTGGGTGCTCACCCCTCCAATGCCAGGCACAAGCTCCAGGAGCAAGGGACCCTGCGGGCTGATGTCCCAGCCTGTCTTTGGCCCTGCCTGGTGACTTGGTCTTTTGGATGAAGCTGGCCAAATCTACTCTGCATCTTTACTTGGGCATGAGGATGGAGCCTGGCTTGTGCCAGGGTATCCCACTGGTGCCACCACAAGCTCAAGCCACACAGACTGCCATGGCATCATCCCCAGCGCTGCCGAGCCAAGCTGCCCCAAACCCAGGTTTACTAAACCCCAAACTCACAGGAAGCTAAACCCCACCCAGCCCTGCAGGTCACCCACCCAGGACTCCTGCTGTCCCACTGCTCCAGGCCATGCAGCTTGTCACTGCCCAGCGCAGCAGAGTTTGAGCTGCTGCAGCCAAATGCGTGTGCCACCATTACCACCATGGCTTTGCACCAGAATATCTATCAATTCCCTGCCTGCAGAGAGGGAGAAGGTAATTTAAGGACCTGTCTTCTAAAAGCAGATCAGGTTTGACTGCAGCGCTGCTTAAGAGCTTTCTTCATATATATGCAAAGGCTTCTCAGGAAAGGAGAGGAACATACACAAATTATCTAAGGATGAATCAGGTTCTTGTTTGCCATCACGTGGATGTGGCGAGTGCATATTTTCTGCTTCTTGGAAGGGAGAAAGTGTGGGTGGCTTTAAGGGTGGCTTTAAGGGTAGGCAGCTCAGACCTCTACCATGCAAACAGCCAGGATAATTGCTCTCATTATTAGCACTGATAAATACAGATTACTTCCCAGCTCCCTGGATGAAAGGCTAGGATATGGATGCTGACTCCTATTCCTCCAGAGGATGGCTATTCCCAGGGAGGGCACAGCAAGGATGGGAGTCATGGATAGCACGGGACTGGCTCTATAGGGACCTGCTAAGACAGGGAGCCCCCACCAGCAGGGTGTCACTGCAGGGATACATCTTTGCCATGTGGTTTCTGCTGTGAGTCCAGTCTTGTTCACACTACAGCCATGCCGGCAGCTGGAGTCATGGGGGCAGCAGCCCCAACCTGCCTCATCCTCTCCAGCCTAATTTTACTCCTGACCGGTTTATACCTTGTGGCAGCAGTGCCCATTAGCTGAAATAGTTGTGGTTTTTTCCTCCTCCCAAGTGTTTATCTGCCTGGTGTATTTATAGAGTGGGCTCAGATGGCCTCCCAGCCTGCCTCCTGCAAGACCCAACCAGCCTCCCCTTGCGAGACACCTTTCCTGTCACCCAGCCCCCCTGGCAGCCAGCCTGTCCCTGGCTGAACCCATCCTGGTTGAAGGAGGATGGTCTCCCAGCACCGGGAAAGCTCTGGGGCCTGGTTCCCAGTGGCAAGCCCCTGGCACAGGGCAGCTGTGAATGGCTTCCTTTGGGAAAGGTGTTCCAGCTGCCAGCTTGGTGTCAGGACAAGGCATTTGCAGAGGTGAGGTACTGGCCCCCGTGCACCACACGGGAAGACCTCGTTTTCCCTGTTCAGCCCCCCCCTTTTTTTTTCTGTGCCAATGTGTTATTTTAAACAGCTGCCCCAGATCTACCGGCTTTGGCAGCATCCGAAGGGATCCAGTGAGATGCACAACCGGGGCAAAGGGAGAGGGTCCTGGATGAAACCACCCAGCCCAGGGCATGCAGCAGCAGGAGCCAGACAAAGAGCAGGGCCCTTCGCAGGCTCTGGTGAGCACTGCTGCTGTGTCTCCAGGCCTCTTTGCTGGCTGGGGTAGTTTTAGCACAGTTATAAATAGCCAGCATGAACACCCATCACGCTCCTTGGTGCTCTCAGGGCAGCTGGCAGGGGACAGAGACCCCCAGTACCACCATGGCCCTGTGACAAGGACGTGGGGACACCGTGCAGACAGAGGGGCTTGGGCATAAACCCCAGCACATGTGTGACGTGCTCCACACACGGATGCTGGCTGCTGCATGGGTCTGGAGGCTGAGCCAAGTGCACACTTTCCTGGCTCTGCATTTCACAAGATGGGGTTGGAGATGGGGATGAAAAAGCAGTTCTTGGGTCTGAGCAGGAGAGAAGAGCCAGTGGGGAAAGGTTCCCAGGCCCAGGGGGCACCCTGCACCCCAGCTGTCGGCACAAATATTTGGCATTACAAAAGCAACTGCTTGAATTCCCTTCACTGGAGCCGCAGGGAAAGGGAAGGCAGGGAAGGGGTCAGGCTCTCTCATCCCTTCTCCGGGTGACCTCTGGGGGAATGTTGTAGATGGAAAACCCAGTGGGGCCAGGGGACACCCGACAGTGGAGCCCAGTGCCTTGGAGCATCCCTCTATGGCTCAGGCAGGCACTGGGGCCCAGGGCTTGTCCTGCACATGAAAGGGCTGCTCCCCACACAGCCGGTCCTCCTCCAGGACATGGGATTTTCCACGGTCCCCAAAATCCCTGTTAATTTATCCTGCCTAAGCTGCCAGCCCAAGCAATGCAGGAGATTACATTTTGACAGCTGCTCATGGAAAATTCAGCTCTCTCCCTCCTCCTCAAGCCCTTTTCACCCTCCTCCCACATGCCTGAAAAAGAAAGGAAAGAGAGGAAGGGCCCAGCTATTTCTCCTCACTTGGGCCTCCCACATCCATGGGGAGGCTTAAGGATGCTATTGGGAAAGGCCTTCCTCCTTACCAAAGCACCCTGGGCAGCTGGTGATGCTCCTGCCTGCGGTACATTAAACCCGAAGCTGGCACAGTCACCGCATGTCACAGAGATGTGCAGGCAGGAACCAGCTCTCGCCAGGAGCCAGTGAGGAAGATGAGGGTGCTGTGGGAAATTGGCTGGCCCAGAAAGGCAGGTTCAGATCCAGGCGTGGCCTCTCATACCCTGCAGGAGACTGAGAAAGCCAAGGGCTTTCCAGGGCTTCAAGACACAGGTTGGCAGGTGATCTCATCTCTCTGATGGCTCGGTCTAGAAACTGGGAGCAAGCAGTGCTGGTGCTCCCCGGGGGCTACTGCCCTCTGAGTATTTTTAGGAAGGTTACATGGTTAATTTTAGAGACATGGGTGAAGCAGAGCTGGGAACCTCTGAAAACCCACAGCAGATCCTATGCAAGCTGAAAAAGCTCTGTGGTTAACCCTCAAGTGCCAAAAGCACTGCCACACAGGCTGCTGTGGTAGGATTGACACCTTTCCAATCCATCTGTAATCATCTCAAACACAGCTGGGACAGGAAATTCCCATAATTTGTCTCTACAAGTGATGCCCACAGCAATCTGTGCAGTTTGGGAAAGCCACTGAGCACAACAGAGTCAACCACACCACATCCTGCAAGTGGAAGTGGCTGCTCCCCTTGGGGATGGGCTAGATGGCATCCACAGGAGCTGCAAGCACATCCCTGATGACAGAGAAATGCACATGCCATGTCCACATTCACTCACCAAACCCTCTGCTAACTTGGTCTGCCTGCAGACATTTCCAGGCTACAAGGCCACCAGGAGATTTGGCATCACTCCAGCAGCAGGAGACCTTGTCTCTGTCACTAGCAGATGGCTGAAACACAGGGAGCAGCACCTCCAGCACTGGGAGGAAGATGCTGGTGGGGGATGATGCGCTCTGAAGGCAGGGGAAAGCAGCAGCTCAGGCACAAGAAACCCATCCCACACAGAGTAGTATTCAAAGGCATCCCCAGCAGTGGGATAAACCAGAAGTCCTCTGTATAGCAGTATCCCCAGAACGTGCCCACGCCAGGAGGGGTCCCTCTGTCTGTACCCACCACCCCAACGGACAACCCGAGTACCAGAGAGCTCAGAGATAAGCCCCAGGCAGCCTGACATCCGTGCAGGTTCTGGAAACCTCAGCTGCACAGCACATCTCAGTGTCTCCAGAGGGCACTCTGGGACCCCGGCCAAGAGAGCTGGCTTACACCAGGTCAGGATGTGTCTGAGCTCAAGATGAACACTGGGAATATATGGTCCAAGCATACAGTTGAAGCAGGGCCCTGGTGCCTCCTCTCCTAGCTGAGCAAACCCTGAGCATCCCAACTCCTCCTGTAAACCTTGGGTATCCTAACTCTTCCTTGCAGCTTCCCCAGCATCACCACCTGAACTGGCATCAGGCAGAAGATGGAAGAGATGGATCATCTTTAAAAAAACTATGCTAGTGATTGCAGAGTAAGGAAAGACTGAAAAAACATGTCTATGGGCCCAGTTCGTCAATCTGAATCAGAGAAGTATGTAGAATTGTGAGAGGTGAAGGGAGTCTGACCCCTCCCCTTCCATTACCCCTCGTGGGCTGCAGCACAGCCCCAGGAAGGAAGGGATCACGGAGTAGTTGTCCTACTCACCAGCCAAGCAAAGGAAACCTGCAGAGCCAAGATACTCAGACCTCACATTTCCTGGAAAATAAATTAACTCCTTGTTTTTCTAAAGCAATTGTCACAGGAGCGCACACTGGGAGATGGCACATGGGGTGCACAGAGCTCATCTCCAGCACTTGGGTACCTCTGGTAGCTCAGGAGCTGCAT